GTGAAGCGAACGCTCCAAATCCTTGTCCAGTGGAAGGGTTACCCAACGAGCTTTGACTCATGGGAGCCTGTGGACGCTTTGCGCGTTGACGTGCCTGGGCTGGTGGCTGCTTATGTGAAGCAGCACCAGCTGTCTTCTTTCTGCTAGGTCCGGAAGGACTAGCAGAAGAAGCGTGGCGAGAATTAATTGGGGGACGCTTACCGCCCATAATTTCATGCGCACGCTTCATGGCGAAGCTGATTCGCTGCGACCGTTGTTTCGTTGCACCTACATGCAAGGTAACACGGCGCCGAAGTTCATCTTCATAGTCGTCGGCTGTTTCGTTAGAACGCAGCACGACTGAAATTGGGAAAGCACGACCAAGTGCTTTGCCCTGTTTTTTCCACAAAGGAATGACGCTATAGAATCTATGAGCGTCTTTAGTGGCACGCTGCAAAAGCGCTGCGCTAGACCCATCCGAGTTCATCCACTCAGATGGAGGTGGCATTGGTGGCAAGCCACCACTCACGTAGGCGCCCTCGCGACGGCGGGCTAGTGAGGCCTAAGGTGTACTTGGTGGAGCTTTAAGCTCACACTCAGCTGAGTCTGACTCGCCATTATGGATTGTCAAGACATCAGCTTGAGAAGTTACATCTGACTGAGTCGCGACTACTCCTTTCGAAGTAGCGCGCTCAATCTTAGTCGCTGCGGTCGTAAGCGCAGACGACGGGGTTTTTCCTTCGCTTGTAGGTAGCATAGATGCTTCCTCAAGGACGGGTGCCTCAAATGATGGGGACATATGTCCCATCAATGCACTATGCTCATCTCCACTTTGGGGTGATGGCAATGGAGTAGTCTCATTGTAGTCTACGATGAGAGATGGCTCTTGATCCAAGATGGAAGATTCACCTCAGTGCCTGAAGCACTTTGTGACGGCTGCGATAAATCGCGGCGCGTGCGCTTAGTGCTGGACGGCATGGGTGCCTTTGCAGGCGACCCATCAGCCTTACCACGTTTCGGTGACATGAGAGTTGAGTAGACTAATGCGGCGCGTTTATAACGGCTCGTCAGTCTCTCTGTCTCTTAGGCGATGTTTTACAAAATGTAAACATCGTTCTAACATGGGGGATGGTGTAACAGGGTATCTAGTTACACGTAAACATTAAGTAATATACTTAATGTTTGGTCTAAAAGTATCCATGATTACTTTTGACCTGTCACTTGGGTGCGATACACAAATGTGATCCACCCTCGTGAATGTGATATCCATTTATGGATTCACATAAGAAGGGATGACGCTAGTTGAAGCTAGGCATCGCGACGTCTCAAAAGGACGTCAGTTGCAATCTTAAATCTAGATTTAAGATCATGCGACAGGATACGCTTCTAAAGAGTCGCGTATCCGATCTATATATATATATATATATCCAATCAGTAGCTAAGTATATATTTAGTTATAATTCATTAAATATAGCTCAGTCTTGAATTTACTTAAACAAACGCACCACGCACGAGAAGTTGAAAGACTTCTGCGTGACGTCGGTTCTTTAGTGTTAAGAAGTTCGTTGCACTCTCGCTCAAGCGAGAGGCAACTGGTGGTACGACTGCTTAAGCAGTCGACCAACCTCCCAACCACCCTCGTACGCGAAGGTAAGACGGTATAACCGCTTCCTCGCTTGTGCATAAGGTGTGTGCTCGTAGTACGAGGCAACTTCGTAGAAGTGCCCGTCTACAGATCCAGGGCAGAAAAAACACTAATCCAGATTATTTTACTTCGTAATCGGATGCGATTAGAGCGCAAACCTTCGCTTTTGTACTTAAATCTGATGATGTCTCTATAAAAATATGTCTAAATGTAAGATATAATTCTTTCATTATGTGCTTGCTTTATCCGATCAATAGACACTTACTGCACAATCTTATCCTGTTAAACTTCTTATTGGCCGCGTCTTCTTAAGGCTGATCGGGTGATTGTAGCCACTTTGACTACTTGATCCACTTGACTCGGAAGTACAACCTATTCAATCGATTGAGTGTAATCAGGTCTTCACAATCTTGATCGGAAACAACACTAATGAAATGGGGCACCCTCCGACTATACTGATTACAGTATAGTCTACTTTCACTGATTACAGTGAAAGCAGGTGCCTCAATTACCTCTCTTACACAAGAGGCAGAGGAAGCTTTACTTCTAAACGATACGCTTAGAAATAGAGGAAAATAAGAACTGTATTTAATATAGTTAACTATCTAATATAACTAATCTGTTATAACCTATGCTAACTATATTAAACTACAACTATGTATGTTGACGACTTGCCCTCCACTCATTGCGCGCGTTCATCGGTCATTGGTCAGCGCGTTGGTTGATATGATGGCCCATATCAACCAATGAGAGGGCATCTCCAACTTCAAGGAGATCTAGGAACAATATTATTAGAAAAGGTAATATTGTCAAAATATAATTAGTTATTATAATATTTTTATTGACACTTCATATAAGTGTCAATATTATGTAACGGGCTCGCCCCGTTACAACTTACACATTTTCCCTGCTGCTCTAAGGTGTGTGCTCGGTGCAGCTTCTTTAAGGTACCCGTCTACGGAAGCTGTATTATATTTTTGGTACCCAGCTAATATATGGATACCACAAGCTTTGCCAAGATGGCATAGCCCTTTGCTATAGCCCCTGGTCTTTGCCAAGTATCTAGCTGCAGCCTTTGTTATGTGGAAAAGCCAAGAAATCCCTTTGCTTAACATGAAGTCATCCAAACATTTATTTCTATTATTAACATACAACAAAGGCTTGGATGACGGGCGCATTTTTTTAGAAATGGCTTGCAAATGGCAACAAAAAAATTGAGATGCGTGGAGGAGGTGGAAAAAAATCAGTGATGCGGCACCTGTGGCAGACTTGTTCACCAGAACCGAATAAAGATAATCTCTTACGTAATACCTGCTTTTGATGCTGCTTGATGGATCCCAGGAAAGTCAACTAGCTGCTTATAGAGTCCGTTACGACCATTAACTTGATATTCGCAACGCACTTACCACCCCACAACCCGTAACATGTGCTTCTAGTAGGTTTTCTTTTTCAAAATGTTAAAGTTGCTTCTGATGATTTTAACTTATAATTTGGCGATCATTAACCGAGCTCGGTGGTCGCGAAATCACCTAATGACGGTTATAACTTGTCAAAGGAAAACTTATTGGAGGGAGATCTGTGCTAAGTTAAACCTAATAGGAAATGGGCTTTTGATGGCTTCTAACATCAGCAGAGCTGCCTAAAGTTATTCAGAAGTTCCTCCAATACTAGGATGCGGCTCCAGACATGAAGCAAATATTGGAGGCTGCTGTCGCTGCTTAAGACTCTAGTCGGAAGTGTAGCGGAGCTGCACAGTTCTTTAGCCAGAGGAAGACTTTAGGCTGAAAGCATCTTGGGTTTAGAGAACTAACTAAATTTACGGCTAAAACCACTTAGTTCTAAGGAACTAAATTAAAGACTTCAAATTCACCCTGTTCTAAGGAACTAGGAGAGGCTTCTAGTCTACAAGCAATAAGCTTAAGGCTCAGAGAACCAACGCACCGAGTGCAAGAACAAGCTAGGAGCTTAAAGGTTCAAAGAACCAACGCACGAAGTGCACAAGAGAACAAGTCAGAATGACTTGCGATCTTAAACTAAAAAGGAGAACTGATTTTATTTATGATTTAAGATGTTATGAATAGTCCTACTCTAAGTACACTACACTAAATTAATTACTATAATGGTAATTATTATATGCAGACTTTGCTATTGAACGACGTATCTTCTAAACATCTGTGTACTTAGTACAGCGTTATCGATTATCGAATCCTAATCGATAAGATACGGTATCACCGAATACCGTATCTTTAAGGCTTACACTTAATACCTCTCTAAAGAGAAGTATAATAATGCATTATATGCAATACAAAAGGGACTTTAACCGTAAACATTCGGAATGATGTTACAACCGTCGTGTAACCCCGTTACAGGAAGCCGATCTTTTGTGCCAGCGCAGACAATATATCTACCTTTTTGCAGCTTCAGGACAGACATCATGTAAAAAGGTGTGCAGACAACATCGATTCATATGGAAGTGCACATTCGTCTGAGTGAAGTTTTAACATCGGACTAAGAGCGGGTGATTATTATTGTGACAGCCGTTGTTAACGACTAATGAAATAAAGCTGATTTTAGTGTGCAGAGACACATGTACAGCTGCAAGTTAGATAAAGCATGATTGTACGGGTGGACCAGACATGTCTTATGCTATTTATCGTAATTGTGTAGAATTGGTGTATTCGTAATGCCCCGTATGATATGGTACTAGATGACAAATAGCAATTACAAGCTTTTCTGACAGACCCACGAGCAACTCAAATTTGACTGAAGTTTTGTGACGTTGATAGTTGAACCCTTACTATCGTCATTCCCATCATCATCCACATCAAACAGTCAATCGCCACCTTGTCTGTTGGTCTCAATCTTTATACCGAGAAGTTCTTAAAGCCAAGGAAACGAATTAGACGCTAAATTTCACCAGAAAAAAAGATGGCTTCAATCGAAGCACCTTTAACTTGCAACACGTCTTCTCGAGAATGATTTTAACCAATCCAATTATCCTGCGTGTCTCAGTATCTTAAAAATCTCCCGCCAAGATAAATATCCAGCATACTGAGAAACTGTATCATCATACCAATAAGTTTCTCATGAATGAATAGCTTACAAACAGGAAAGACAATTCTTCGTTAAGATTCTCAAGAGGGTTTCTATCTACCAATATTAAGCACTAGATAGCTACTTCCGTAACAGAAGAATGGCTGGCGGTCATAGCGTTACTCGAGGTTCGATAAGAAGGAGGCCAACAAAACATCAAGAGCTGCGGCCTCGCCTCCTCGTCGTCCTCCACTACAGCCGCATCTCCTTCGACCACTTCTCACCATCACTAATACCAGCTGAGCTAGCTCGCCTAAGACTTGTCTGTACTACTGTTGCAAACTTACTCCACGTCCTGCACATTCATGTCTCCCTGGTTGGCATCAGCATTGTCAGGTTCCTGATCTGAGGTCCAGAGTGTCAAGTTGTCACGCAGCAGCTGCATGATCAAAGTGCTATCCTTGTAGCTCTCCTCCGAGAGTGTGTCAAGCTCAGCAATAGCATCGTCAAAGGCCTGCTTGGCCAAGTTGCACGCACGGTCAGGCGAGTTCAAAATCTCATAGTAGAACACCGAGAAATTCAACGCCAAACCCAATCGGATCGGGTGCGTCGGCGGAAGTTCCGCCATAGCAATGGTCGAAGCCTGCTTGTAACTCTCCAGAGCCTTGTCCGAAGACTCCTTACGTTCGTCATCGACCTGGAACTCGGCCAAGTAACGGTGGTAGTCACCCTTCATCTTGTAGTAAAAGACCTTGCCTTCTTCACTGCTTGAGTTCGGAATCAGATTGTTCTCGATGATCGTTAGGATGTCATTGCAAATATCCACGAGCTCGCCTTCAATCTTTTGACGGTAGGCCTTGATGTGTTCACTGCGTTCAGAATCGCCCTTGTTCTCAATAGATGAGATCACACGCCACGAGGCACGACGTGAACCAATTACGTTCTTATACGCGACCGACAACAGGTTACGCTCTTCGACCGTGAGTTCCACATTGTGGTTGTTGGCCACGGCCTTCATGTGGTCCACCATCTCATCATATCGTTCAGCCTGTTCGGCTAGCTTGGCTAGGAACACAAGAGAGTCGCGGTCCATGGTAACGGAAACAAAGAGGGAGATAGAGTTGACACTTGAGCTTGAGCTTGGAAATCGGATACTGGCGTCAGTAAGGGGATGCGGGTGGGCCACGATTAGACAAAGCGATGGGGCGAATGCATCTTCGAGTATTGTGAAAGCAAGATAAAGCGAGAGTGATGGTCGTCGCGAACGCGAGTGTAAAAATTTGGCAGCTGCATGACCGTCGTACTTAGTAAGGATCACATGGATTATAACCAATCCGAGACAATCGTGCCGTCGCCATTGCAACCCCGGACCTTCCTGAGTCGAACCGCTTCGCCTGGCAATTCATTGCGATTCATGGCCTGACAATTCATTGGGTGTATATATATTTCTTATCCAATTAAAATTGTGACACCGAGATCTCAATGTGTATGCTCTTGGCTCGTAAGCTCTATAGAATGTATGCAGAAAAGTTCGCTCCGATGTCACTTTACGCAACTCATTTCTAAACTTATTGCAAAGTGGCTGAAGACGATTCCAATGTGCTTAGTCTACCACTGCAACTTGTTATACAAGTTTCTTCACAGCCAATGATACCCGAATCTTCTCTGCAAAGTCTTTGGTCGTCTTTAATAGAAGCAGCAACCAGTCGCTTTGTGTTTAAGCAGTCTACCTCAACACGCGATGTCGGTTCTAGCCGCGTCTTGTTCCGTGTTAAGCTTCCAATTGATAACGAAGTGTCGACCAAGTGGCTGATGGACAAATACGGTATTCCAGTGGCTCACAATGAGACGACTTTGGAGTCGCGACATACGACTTGTGTGTGGACAATTGCCGTCAGCCCGAGCTTAGAGTGCTTACGATTTTTACACTACACACTTGTTTGAAAAGGTAAATCACTTTTTGCAGAGGTAGACGACACACATATAGAAGGCAAAAGTCGTCTTGGGTGCCACGGAATGTGGCGGCAACGAGGTGCAGTGTTATACCTTAACAGAGGACGTGGAGCAACGAAAACTATAGCTTGGGTCGATCGCCCGGCAAGTAAAATGTGGAGACAATCCGTACCATGTGGAGACAATCCGTACCATGTGGAGACATGGACATGACTCATTTTCTGTGCAGCTTTGAAGAATGTCAGTGTTGGTTTTTTACAAAACGCACAGACATCTGTTGCTTGACACGTCACGGATGAAATGATTGTAGCAAAAGAAACCAACACGGCAACAGGATGATTAGGAAACGCAGTACGAATAGTGTATATATGTGTTCATGTGGGGCGAGGCAGGAGTTCGGAAAAGTCAACACACTTGAGCCCTTCCGATGGGAGTCACCGCCTAAAAGCTCGCCGTCGTGAAACGTGAAGCCGAGTATGAGGACCTCCAAACATCTGGAGACGGATGACTTGACTCCTTTCATTTCTGCTGAAGCTTCAAAAGCTGGGACTTCAACTGGAACGCAGTTCGCAGCCAACGCGCTAGCCATCATCGATCAGTGCGATACCTATGGACTCGATCTACATAGTCTTGATAGTGCGGTGGCTGAAGATCTGTATGCATATTACGCTTGCTCTCGTAGCGCCGTAGCGCAAATTTCTTTACTTAAAAGTGCAAGAACGTAGTGTTGTAACGTAATGTCATTAGCTTCTCGTCCACGAGGTTGTCACCTAGATACGACGCTCGCAGGCGAGTGGTGTCTTTTGTAGTGCTCTGATGTCCGAACACGACGGATGCTTTTATAAAAACGTGCCGACAATCAACGTGGTTGGTAGTAGTTTGTCACTTTCGACTTCGGCGTCATGGTTTGCCAACCGTAGCCGAATTTGCGCGAGCTGCCGGGTTACTACCGATCACTTTCCTTGTACATTCTGAGGTCTCGAGCATGAGCAATTCGTTTCCATCGTGGAGTCAACGGTGCGAACAGTGGACGTAGTATCTCGACATGTGCACCGCTTCTATAATGAATGAGTCGCTTATACTAAAGAGTGCGTCGTTTTCTTCAGGTGATAGAGCTTCCGTTTTGTAACGGGGTGAGCCGTTACATAATTATTGACACTTATATGAAGTGTCAATAAATATATTATAATAACTAATTATATTTGACAATATTATCTTTTCTTATAATATTGTTCCTAGATCTCCTTGAAGTTGGAGATGCCCTATCATTGGTTGATATGGGCCATCATATCAACCAACGCGCTGACCAATGACCGATGGACGCGCGCAATGAGTGGAGGGTAAGTTGTCAACATACATAGTTGTAGTTTAATATAGTTAGCATAGGTTATAACAGATTAGTTATATTAGATAGTTAACTATATTAAATACAGTTCTTATTTTCCTCTATTTCTAAGCGTATCGTTTAGAAGTAAAGCTTCCTCTGCCTCTTGTGTAAGAGAGGTAATTGAGGCACCTGCTTTCACTGTAATCAGTGAAAGTAGACTATACTGTAATCAGTATAGTCGGAGGGTGCCCCATTACACCTGGTAGCACTTCGTGGTCCGTTCAGCGACCACCGCACCATCCGCTATGGAATCAGCGGGTGATGAACGTCATCACGCAACGCGTGATGATTTCCGCCATTTGTGTGACCTCGAATGGAATGCGGTTCAGCGTATGGCTGAAACCATCGGCAACCCTGCCGTTGGTGCCATGTTGCTCTCTCTTAGCGGAGACGACCAACATGCAACCATCGCCAAGTTCATACAACATGAACTTGACGAAGTTGTAAGGAAACTCACCTTTCTACAGGAGCAAGGTTCTCAACAGGTTGACCTGTTGAGAGAACAAGGCGCTCAACAAGCTGACTTTTTGATGCAGCATGGTGCTCAACAGTCTGAACTGTTGATACAATAGCAGGCTAGTGCTGCTGCTGCCGGGTCGACGTATACACGTCGACCCGAGTCCTTGAAGATTGATGTCTCCAAGTACAAGGCAGTCGAAAGCGACTCCTTGTTGAGATGGTTCGTCGAGCTCGACGATGCCATTGAGGCTCGTCGTATTGTTGACGATGCGATGAAGGTCAAGTTCTCCATGTCGAACTTGGCAGGACGTGCCAAAGCTTGGGCCTTAGGGCTCAAACTGCATGACCCATACGTTTTCCAAACGTATAATGTCTTCAAGGCGCGGCTCAAACATACGTTTGAACCGCCTCGCGCCGAATTCAGGGCTCGGGCTGAGCTCCTGGATTTGAAACAGGGTAAGCGTGATATACACGCTTACGCCCAACACGTGCGATACCTCGTTAGTTGTATCGTACTGAACCCAATCGATGAACACACGCAGGTTACTGTGTTCATCAAGGGTCTGACAGATGATCCTGTCAAGACCCACCTGTTCCGCTTGGAGCTAGAATTGCTGGATCAAGCGATCTCTGCAGCGGAACAGGAGGACTTTAGCCTACAGCAGGCTCACGTCCACTCGGGATCCTATCGTCCACCGAGACGACAGGAGGGCGGAGGTCCAGAACCAATGGACCTCTCCTATGTAGAGAGCGAGCGACCTCGCTCTCCAGGGTACAAGCGATTGCAAAAGTGCAATCGCTGTCAGAAGTTGGGCCACTACGCTTATGAGTGTAGTGCCCCACGCCCAGTGTCTCGTAACACTGGGAGTGACGATCGATCATCTGCCAAGAAGGGCCAGAGACGTGGGTCCCACGTTGCTGCGAAATCGCAACAACGTGGTGGACCATCAAAAACGGTCGGGGTCAGTAGGGGCGGAGCGCCCTAATGATCCAGAAACGTCAAGAAGTTCGCGGGACTCTTGACGAAGGTTTCTCCCAACACACAGTCACTGTGTGTTGCCGCTCCCAGTGATGAGGTATCCCTCATCACCTTAAAGATCGAAGTGACAAAGAGCATGTCACTTCGCGCCCTAGTTGATTGTGGGACTTCGAACAACTTTGTTCGACGCCAATCGCTAGATGATCGTAGGCTCAAATATGTTGAGCGCGAGACCCCTCCAACGAGGATGACGGTGCGCCTTGCAACTGGCGCATCCGTAACAGTAAAGAAGCGTGTAGTGGGAATTCACTACACGCTTGAAGGCAGAAATTACGATGATGATTTCATCGTACTTGATTTGGATGACAATTTTGATGTCATCCTAGGATTACCGTGGCCCAGAAGGTACGAGCCATGGGTCAGCTGGCAGCACCGAACCGTAAAGATGCCTGTCGCTTGTTCATCGGATGACATTCTGATGTACATCTTAAGCGTTCACAAGCGTGTGAATGTACTACGAGTGAGTGTGATGGCCTCACTTGTGGTTCGGTCGTTAGTACGACTGCACAAGAACTCAGCGTGACAGACAGTCACGCTGTGGAGCAAGCTGCCGGTGGCTGTGCACAAGCGCAGGCAGCGCCGAAGGTCTAACACTCGAATAAGTCGAGTGGACAGGGACATGAATGCTCGCCTAGAGGGCAGCAGTCACCGAAGAGTAAACCGGTTGCCCAGAAGCGGCAACACGGTAATCCTAGATCAACTGGAGAGTTGATCGTAAAGGATCTCGCTGTGGTTGCGTCACCACAGCTAGAGGAAGTCGATGGAACTTGTTCCATCGAGCCTGCGGGAATAAGTCCCCAGGAGATAATCACTGAGGGAATAAGTCCCAAGTGCCCTGAGGGAATAATTCCCCAGGAAGTAATCGAGACGTTGAACGTCTTGGTTAATGACGGATCAAACGTAGGCGCTTATACGCTTGATCTGATCGCGCCTCCGAAGTTAACTTCGGAGATAACTCAGTTGCCTACGCTAGAACCTAAAAGGTTCTTGAGTGATCTGCGTAGTGGCAAAGTCAAGCAGATCTGTGTGCTCGTCGCAGAAGACGAGTACATGACTGACATTCGGTCAGCAACAGTTTTTGCCGAGAACGAACGGGTTCTCAGCAGCTCATCAATGGACGAAAGTGTCCTTGATGAGAAGACTCGGATTGAGCGATATACATCGCAATCCTGGGAGTCGCTGAAGTCAAATCCTTTGTACAAGGATTTGGTCGAATTCAAGGATGTATTCCCTGAATCCGTTCCGTGCGAGTTAC